AAGTGGAGTGAGTGCAAGAAGGGCTAGTTAGGCAGCAATTACATTCAGTGTTATCTAACTGGAACCAGAAGACATGACAAATAAGCATAAAAATTATGATATATAAAAAATATATTTATATAACATCACATAAAACAATAAGTATATAAATAATAAAATGTAAATAGCATAAACATAAATAATATTAGAAGTAAATTTGCCATCTCTGCAATGCTCTGTTACTTGTAGTATCTTCCCACGTAGGGGAGAGGTGTTCTACTTTCTACCTTTTTCTGTGTTTTGGTGCCTCCACATGCTGTTCCAGCCTACATTGTTTCATGGGCCAGAACATTTTTCAAAATAGTCTAATTCCCTGTACTGCCTTACTTAAAGTATAGCATTGACTAATAAACTGTGGTTTATTTTTCTGTTTTAATTATAAGGATTGCACTTAATTTGAGATGGTGGTTGTTAAAATGGGAGTGATTCGTTGCATTCTTTGTATTGGGGCTCTCAATGGTAAATGCAGTGCTGATGAGCTGTGTTGTCTGGTGTAATCTTCCTTGTTGACAGTTATGTAGAGAAATCTCTGCAGTGTGTGTTGTTGTAAAGAAACAGTCCAGATTACATCCTACTCTTCATGAGGATGCACTACTGTAGCTTTAGTAAGGACTCAGAACTGCAGCTTATCTGTCCTTCTAGTGAACAGTTTGGAAGAAAGAAGTTTTATGGCCTAGAAACATGTCACTTGCAGCACAAACACATCGGTTCAGCCAAGTGCTGCCTGTCAGAAGGGAATTCATTTTCCTTCAGCAAAAGATTTTCAAAAAATCACTCCCTTGTAAAAGGTGCCTGTGCCTTCTTTCTTGAACAGTATTGACCACTGAAAGAGTTAGCAGTATTCTGTCTGTGTTGAAAGTAATTTAAAACTTTTGCTTGGATTGCTGACAATTTTATCTGGTTATGGTTTTCAGCTTCTACTAGCTCCAGCCTCTACCTACAAATATTCCTTCTCTGGTTTTACAGATTTCCATATTTTGCCCCTCTCAGTCATGTCTTTTCTAGGCTGAAGATTCATGGTCTACTTTGTTTGTTATTTGTATGGAATTGGTCCCATCATTAATCACTCTTACTGTCTTCAGTGTCTCTTCTACTTCTAATGTATTCTTGTAGAGAAAAGAGTACAAAAAAATAATGTAATATTCAAAATACAGATGTACCATAGAATTTGAGTCTCCTAAGATATTTTGTGTTATGTTCTCTCCTGGTTTCCTAATATTCCAGTATATTACATGTTGGGCTTATTTTGGTATTGTCCTTCTGTTGCTTTTAGGTTTGGCCTGTTGTGCTCTGTAGTGATCCATGGAAGCACGACAGCAATCTCTTTATAATTATTGTACTTTCTTCTTTTTCCCTCTAAAGAAAGCACAGAGATACTCTAGCTGTGGGAACATCCTAAATATGATGTTGTCATACAATGCTGCAAGACTGTGCTTAGAGCTGGGAGAACAGGCCAGGCAGCATCTTCTGGGCATTGCTAGTGCAAATGAAATACATGGTATGGATATCCATATGTCCTACACCACTGCCATGTGAGCTCTTACCTTATTAGGTTGTAGAGACAATCTAAGAAAGAAATTCAGGGTTGTCTCAATGCAGTACCTGGTTTTATTTACAAAACTGACACTAAAATATGGGGACTCTTGTATTTTGTGGTTCTGTTTAATGCTTCACCACCCCAAGACAGCAGCAATACTTATGCCAGGAATTAGTTATCTAGAAAAAAACGTTTATTGGAAGTTTGTTTATTCATTACTATAGCTTGATCCTTTTCTCAGTGTCTTCCATCTAGTGTTTGAGTGAAATTGCTAAAAGACAGTCATAATCAGTAATTTAAAACATTAGATACATTTCTGTAAAAATATTCTGCTTCAGTATTTACATATCTTTCTTAAAGGTGATTTACTTGTAAAGAAAATGCCTTTTTTTTTTTTCCACCCAAGGATTGTTAAAAAAAAAAAAAAGTATCGCATTCAGCCTCCAGAATATGCAGGACCTGAGGATTTGGGTAGGTTGCAGCTGTCTTCACCAACAGTATTTGGAAATAACTAATGAGATGAGAAGTCTACAGCTGGTGGCAAGTACTGTAAATTGTGTGCCCTCTGCTCGCCTCCCCCATTGGTTTCCTGGAGGAGACAGACTGCGAACAAAGCCAGCAGGCGTCTTGCTGGGTGCTGCTGCTCACATGCAGCAGTAATTGAGATTAGGGCTGTGTACTCTGTGCTGAAGCTGTCATACATGATGGAATATATTTGCTCTTTTTGATGTCTGTAAAAAGGACACGTTTTGTTCCGGTAAAATCGTAAATAAGTGGGTCCTCACTAAAATTCACATGACAAATATTGCTATTAGTCTTTCTACAATTATAATAATTTGACTGGACATACATATAAGTGTTGGTGAATTTAAATGTTAATATACAGTGCTTATGCTGATTCCTCAAATTGTCCCCGTGGGGTAGATGAAGTATTATCGGAGCACCTGTGGGAGCATGCTGCTAAAGTTGGGTGTCTAGTATATGGGTTCTTTAAATAAACATATTGTTTCTGTTTAGAGGGAGAAATAGAGGAAACTACTATTTTGTGGAAGTTCCTAAAATGTATTGGTTAGCAATGTGATTGAATGTCTTGGCTCACTTGGATGTTTCTAGGAAATACTTGCTCAATTCTCGAAGTATGTATTTGAATGCTTAATATGGAAGTTTATCTGAATTACCTATAAATACTTTCTAGATGTATTAATTACAGAATGGCTGAAAAAAAAATCTATTTAAAGGTTTCTTCAGCCTGTTTTAATACACAGTATAGGTAAATGCATTAAAAGAGCTGGAGCAGCGAGAAAAAATTGGGGAGAAGAAAGTATCAGAGAATAACAGCTGATTTTCTGCAAGTGAAATAGATTCCTCTGAGAGGACCTGGATTTTTCAGTTCCATCCAGATTGCAGAAAGTGCATTGTAAATGTCAGAATGGTTACGAAAGCATTAATAACTAATTTGTGTAGCCTTGCTCTGTGGATTCGGAATTTCAGTCTAGAAGTAGTCTTCATTCCTCCGTGCTAATGGAAGAATCTAGATCTGAAAACTGTTGTGTTGCACATGATCTTCAATGATTCTGACAGCTGAAACGATGACTGCATATAATAGCTCCTCAATTGTATATGCACTAATACCATCTGTTGAATTCAAGTTACATGAGTTAAACATGAAAAATAGGGAAATGGAGCTGTTTAGGGAGGGCTGAGGAAAGCTGACTGGAATTCTTTTGTGTGGATTGTTTTTCCCAGGTTCATTTGAGATTTTTCTGGTGAATAAATATGGAGAATAAATATGCAATCCCTTCAGAACAATAGGAGAGGGAAATACTTTTGGACAGTTCATAATTCATTGGTCACTAATTACCACAGGGTGCAACTGAGGCCAAGAATAAAAGTGGCGAGGAATACCCAGTTATACGATCCTCTATAATGGAAGAGTTTATATCCTTTCCAGAAAAAAACCCACAGAATAGGGAAAACCAATGTGTTCACTGCTTGGAGTGATAGCTCTGTCGTGGATTATTTGCATCCTTCCATGAAGTGTCTGTTACTGGCCACTAAGACAGAATATTAGATTAGAGTGGTCGCTGTATAACTCTGACAATTCCTGCTCTATAATGTTCCAGTGTTTGGGTTTATTTTTTATGTGCTTATGTTCATGCCTTTGTCTGCAAGAACTTTAACTCCCTTACCTAGGGAAGCCAGTTCTCCAAAGCACACTACTGCAGCAGAGATATAGTTAGATGATTTCAGTATGCCTCAAAAGAAGCATTGATATTTCAGTTTTAATATTTAGAGAGCCATTTATCTAATTTGTCTGTCTTTCTGCTGATAGTATTTAATTTTGAATATAGGGGAATACATTAGATATGTGAAGATTTAGTTTTAATTCATCTTTTAAAGCAGTTTACAAATGTGATTCCTTGTGACGACTCTGATGCAGGAGTTGGGTGGGAGGGGGGTGCCAGTAGCTACTTCTCTGGTGGTATTTCTTTCACTCAGTGTTCTGCAAATTTTTTCCTCATTGAAATTTGTTTTTAAAAATGAGACCTTAAACTCTGATAAACTTTCTTGGGCTTTTCTGTAGCACCCGCCAAGCATTTGTTCTGCTCTAAACCAACTTAAACTTTTACAGTTCTCCTTGGTTTTTTGGATGTGATAGTATTCTTAGGTTGATGTTTTTCATACATTGTGTAAACCTTACGTGTTCTTAGTTACCGAGGTCCAAGTTTTTAATCCTTTCCTGATTTCCAAAGTAGCATCTTTATCAAGTAATCATTTTCATACCCCTCATCAGTTAAATTAAGTAAATCCATATGTTGGAAGCATTTGTCATTTTCAACTCTACTAATATTAGCTTTTTTTCTCACCGTTTATAACTTGGTAAGCAGTGTTGTCTGTTGTAAAGCAGTGCCACTCAGACTGTAGCCTTGTGCCCTCTCTGTGCTTGGCCTGGTGATGTCTCACAGATTGAGATTATGCAGTTTCTGATGTTGCAAGTTAGCTCCCTTATGCCTTCTTCCCTTTCTGTTCTGTGTTCTGAGGAGTGGACATATGTTGCAGCTTGGAAAATGTTAGCACACTACTTTCCGTATTACTGCTTTCTCTTCTCCTCAAAAGTTCACAAAACTCATAGGATAGTGCTTATGCAGCACATGAAAATTCTGACCTAGAAGGCAGCCCTGGTGTGCTATCATAGTGTAAATGGATAATGAGCACCACTGGTGATACGCAGTGATTGAGTGGGTGTGATGAAGCATTCAACACAACCTTAAGTTAGCCTAATAAATGTACTCCACCCGTCCTGCTCCAGACCATGCAGGAGAATCTATTTGGTAGTCTTGAACAGAATCTTAATACAGTGGGATATTGAATCTGGGGTGTTTTTTTTCTGACTCTCAGATGTGTTTTTTTTTTTATATTATAGGACTACAAAGCTGATGAAGACCCTGCATTATTCCAGTCAGTTAAGACGAAGAGAGGACCTTTGGGGCCAAATTGGAAGGTACCAAGAACTGCTGTTACAACCTTTTGAAGTCTTTATCTGCAGGAAAAAAAAAAAAGTTCATGATTCTTCAGAGACTAGCACTAGCAATGTTAGTCTTAAACAAAGGGCAGAAGTTGAATACTTTTCTTTTTTGTATTCAGTTAAAATGCCAGATGTGTTAGTAAGCAAAGGTACTGTCTGCTACATTTGTCATTACTATAAAGGAAATTTTTCATTGACAGTAGCACAATTTTGCTTCTTACGTTTAGTGTCTACTGTGATATACTTAAGTAAATGGTAAGGTTTTTTTGAATGTATTACAAATGGTGCTCCAGTTTCTTAAATTTTCTTGTAAAAGCATTCAGTCTTTCATTACCCAGAAAAATTCTAAATACAGCATGAATGTTTCTGTTAAAACACAGTGTGAAGGACTTGCTTTGAGAGGTGCAAATTTTCTTCTAGTTCATTACTTTAGATGTCACCATTAGTTATTTTTACCACTAGTTTTTGCAAAGCAGCAAGGTGAGTGTCAGATATTAGAGTAGCATGCATCGGACCAGCAAGCTCTCGGTCTCTGATTTTCTATCCTAAAACGTGATTGTGCAAGCAGAAGTAGGCAGGAAATACACCACCTTTCTGCTATCAGAAGCTTGACTTGTGTCTTAAGTGTCAGTAACTGACCACCATGTCTAAGAGAGTAGAGTCCCCATTTCCCACTACATAGTACCACACTCGTTCTCAGGTGGCCTGAGATCATAAATTGAAGCAGCCTGAATTTGAGGATTTAAGGTGTCACTCGTCCCCCTCTGGAATGAGGCTGTAGTTCCAGGGGAACGTTTGTGCTGACCATCCACTCCTGTACTTCCGTACGTGCTGGTACAGTATTTAATGCTGCATGGTAATTAACCTAGGGAAATAAATAGGAAATCAGGTTTTTGTGAGAGGATGGGAAACGATATGGTAACACTGGGAGTCATAACAGGACCACTGAAAGTTTCAGTAGAGCAGAAAGGATGTGGGCTACTAAAGCTGACACTTCACTGCCACTGTGCTGCATTACCAGAAGAAAAGCTTGCAAAGCTACCTCTTGGGTGTTCCACATACTTCAATTTGTCTTGATGAGAGCTGATGGTGCAGTTGATGTATACCACTGACCTCGTCGGTGTTGCCATAGCTGTTCCTAATGTCATCTTTTCAACATGATGAAAGTTCATCCTGTGACAGTCCAGTTGTACAGACAAAAATAATGTGAAATTCCATCTGAACACCAGAAAACACTTTTTTTACTGTCAGGGTGGTCAAACACTGGAACAAGTTGCCCAGGGAGTTTGTGGAGTCTCCTTCCATGGAGATACCCAAAACCTGGCTGGATGCAATCCTGGCAACCTGCTATAGGTGACCCTTCTTGAGCAGGGCTCCTGCACCCAGTGATCAGAGAAGGTCCCTTTGTGTGTTCAAAGACAGATAATAGTTCTGCTTCAGAAAGTTTCTGAGCTTATACGGAGCTGGAGATTGGTAGAATTTTTAAGCAAATTATCAATATTTTCTTCCTTGGGTCTTATATTTTTACGTATGTTTCTGCCATTAGCTGTTGTCAAAATAGTGAGCCTGGCAGACCTTTGGTCTGACTTGAGTGTTTGTCCTGGACCTGAGCAGTAGCTGGAATCTCATGGAAAAATTAGCATCTTGTGTGTGCCAAGATGACGATGAGGGGAGGCGTGTATTCGAACTCCCACTGTTGTAATACTCTTTCTACCTGGGCTAAGTATTCTTGCTAGCAGGGTAAAATTATCACAGGGGTTATTTTTGTAAACTGTGCTGAAAATGTGCATCCTGCCTTAGATGCTTGTTGTTCCTTCCTGCTCGGGAAGGAAGCAGGAGGCTGATGCAGGAATGACCTCTTTGGCCCTGTGTGACCCAAAGAAAGTAGGGAGTTACTGGTTTGTTTTTAAAAAAACAGCTGCAAAATGAGGAGGGGAACTTTAAATGCCTGGAACGAGCAGCACTGAATTTGCATGTTCCATTTAGTCCTGTCCTTTTACTAATGCCTGGACATAACTTGTGCTGTTTGGGAACACCAAACAACAGCAGCACTTTGTTTTTTGCTCATAAATAGAGCATCAGTCTTCTGAGGATAATTGGTTTTCATTTAAGTACTCTCTGGTGATGAGTATTTGTGATAAAAATTCTGTGTTAAATAAATATGCGTTATTCACCAGGAATTTTTCATGTTAGGTCTATCTCACAGTAAATCTTTTTACTATGTGCATGACCAACAGGAGTTGTCCATTTCATGGGTAAAAGAAATCTAGCTTAAAAATGCCATGAAGTATTTCTATTTAGAAGTGTGTTGCAGACATAAAGAATAAAAATCTGTGGACTTTTTATAGTAATTGCTTCAAACCAAACACACAGATTTTTTTTTTCTTTAAATCTACCACCAGCTTCCGTTTCTGTTTTTTTTTTCTTCCTTCCTCTTTTACAAGGCTTAGAGTAACCCAACATGCTTTGTTTAACTAAAAATGTGATACGGTCTCTTGTATTACATAAATTTGACTGCATAAATTGTAGGAAAGTCACTGTGTATGATGTTACAGATACTTCAGAATCGCTCGGGTGTAGGAACTATAACAGAAACCTAGGAATTACAGGAAGTGGTGGTGGGTGTCTCCTCAATTCCCCTCTGTTCATTCTTCTGGGGCTCATCTTTTGCGCAATGTCCTTGAGCTGGAGCTGCTTCCAAGCAGTCTTTGAAGTGGAGCTTCAGTTGGACTTAAGGCTACCTGCTGCCACTAATGATAAAGGAGTTCTCTCCCTATTCTTCTCATAGTTGCAGTCAGAAGGTCTGCAATTCATTATGCAGAAATGAATATGTAAATTACACTCCACAACTAGAAATTACCTCTGGATGTGGGTAAAGGTGTACCCTCCTGGCGTTGTCTGCAGGAGAGGGCTGGGAGGGAGGAGGAGGAGGAGGGGGGAGCACACCAGTGCCTGTGTGGGCAAAGCAGAACTGCAACAAGGCTTCAGCTTTATGCTTTTGTGAGAAGCAAACTTGAGGGGTGGTTATGTGCTTTTTGTTATCCAAATTTTTTCTAGTACATGTGTTTTCCACCATTGTACTGGGCAACTTGGTATAACTCAGATTATAATTGCCTTTGCACAGTAGACTCAAAATTAAAAAATAATTTGGTGCTAGCTGTCGTAATCAAGCTTCATTGTCCTTTCAGAATGTCAGAAAGTGTGTTACAGTGGAAATCATGAAAATTAAATCCATATTAAGACTAAGATTTATAGTACATGTTTGTGACATGGATGGAATTGTCTTACAGATTTAACCTGTTTTTTTGTTAATCCCTGTTACCTTGTGTTGAGTACAGTGCTAAGTATTTACCAGTACTTAGCATTATAAGTATTAATAAAATTCTAATCATACTTATCTAATCAAATTTATGATTATAATAATTTACTATAAATTAATAATATCATTTATAATTCTAATGTAGTACTTGGAAATACAATTTCTAATAATTGTTAAATTAATTTTACTGAAGTAAGTTTTTAGAAAATTAAAAATACTTCCCATTATCCATAAACAGAAAGAGCTAGCAACTGATGAAGACTGTCCTAAAATGTGTGCTTACAAGTTGGTGACTATCAAATTTAAATGGTGGGGACTGCAGAACAAAGTTGAAAACTTTATACAAAAGGTAAGTGCTTCTCCCTTGCTGGGATGTTGCTGGGGAGGTGGGGTTGGAGGTGGGCAGGTAGGTAGGCAGAGTGGTTCTGTGTTCATGTGGGGTGTTTTTGAGGAGAAACAGTGATGAAGTTTCCTGTTGCTCAGTGAAGCAATTTCTGCTCATTTCCTCAGCAAGTACCATTTGTCTCTTGATATACTAGCAATGGTGCCTCATTGGTGGTACTAGAATAACTTTCTAACTCAAAAAAAGCAAAGTTATATGTGAAGAGTCTGTGTCATGTAGGTTTAACGCTTGATTTTGTAAGCAACATCACTTGGCAGGAAGAGAGTTCTTTGATTCTTTTTTTTCTCATAAGTTGAAAGTTGCATAAAACGTCCTGGTGTTTCTCTAGTATTTTATGTTCTAGTTCTCTTATGAAACCGTTCTTGTGTTTTTGCTAATTCTAAACTATTTTAATTTTTTGCAATTGAATGCTTGCAAAACCAGGTATCACACAGGTAGAATGCAGTGCATTAGGAATTTAGCTGGCAGTTGTGGTGTTTTGTCAATTTATGTTTGTGTCTTATTTTGTTACTAATGTGTCATCAGAACATGAATTGTAAAATATTTTTGAAAGTATGACTAAATGTTTAGAAAGTCAACTTGCGTGTAGGCAAACCATTATGACAGTTCTTTCCAGTACAGAGAAAATGTGCTGTAACTGTCAGTTAACCAAAACATGATATTCCAGTGTCAGTTGGCCATGGTGTTTCCTCACAGATACCTGACACCAGACCTTTTTCATTGTGGTCATCGGGGCTCTTAGCTCAGAGTGGACCATAGCTAACCACATTAAATGCTTATGGATTTCAACAAATACAATAGCAAAAGAGAAAAGCTTCAGACAGTAACAGCTGACAATGACATGCAGAGGTAGTTTGTGATGGCCACAGTACAAAATAAGGGTAAGGAGACTTTGGAGGCTGTCGTTTGTGTGGTGGTGGTTTTGGGAAGGAGTTGCCTGTCTCACAGTTCAAACTGGACACTGTTAGGGAATAAACTGAGAAGAAGAGCCAAGACTGATTCTATGGTCTCATGAGGAGTATTTGAAGATATGATGTTTTTTGGTTTGGTTTGTTTTTTTTCTTTTTAACCTTGATTTACCTGAAGCTGATTCTTTAGAGGAAGTTATCTCTCTTTGATAGTTGTCAAGATCTGTGTGTTAGATTTGATCAGCACTGGTTTTGAGGACAGTCAGCAGCTTGAGTGATGCAAAACCAGGGAGCAGGTGAACAAGATGTAGAACTTCAGGTGGCAACCTGGGTAACTGAATACAGGCAGAAGTCTGAGTTTTAGTAGTAAAATAGATTTCTGCGTTGCATATAGATGACTACTTTTATCAGAGCAGTCGGAAGCAATGCTGGAAATTCTGCAAATTGAATGGTTTATATGACGCATCTTTCATCATCCAAGTCACTATTATAAAAATTGGGATTCCAGGGCACCAGAGGTGAACTGAGCTAGCAAGGTGCAGTCCTTCAGCATAACACACTGGGTTTTTTGGGATAGCAGGTTTTTTAGAAATGTGAAACCCACCAATTTAAGTAGAAGAAGTACAGTGAAAATATTCTTACTGTGATCGATCCAGAACACAGATAGGCATACTTCAATTAAAGGGCTGTGGAATCCTTAGCTTGAATATTTATATTCTCCATGTTTTTGTACCTTTGAAATTGCATGTCAGATGTTACTGGGATGCTGATTTTGTACAAATTGCAAGCGTGACATCTTTGGAGTCAGAAGTACTTCCCTTTTTGCTTCATTGTGCCTTTAGGAACTGGCCGTTCTTGACTTTTTTTTTTTTTTTAACAGTGAGCACAGAACCTGTGACAGTTCAGTTGTAGATTTTTTTTTTTTTTTTTTGTACAGTTCTTGCTAAATATGCTAGCTGTTGTGATGCTACGTTTATTCTGTCTAGTGCTATCTGGGAGCTAGAACAGATTTTAAAAGGATTCTTCAGCATTATCAAGTAACATGAATTTTTGAACTTTCTTGAAACTTTTTTTTTAATAGTGAAATTTGTTCTTTTTTTTTTTTCCCGTGTTAAAGCATGTGAAAAATTAGATTACTTTAAATTGTATCCAGGAGTATGAGGGGGCTGAACCTGTAGCAGCATGAAACAGTATGCACCTAAAGATGATAACTTTTTGAATTGAACAGCTGCAATCACTTCACGGGTCATTGGCAAAATGTAGGCCTATTACCTAATGTTTGTTTATCTTCTTAAAGCAAGAAAAAAGGATATTTACCAACTTTCATCGTCAGCTGTTCTGTTGGATTGACAAGTGGATTGATCTGACTATGGAAGACATTAGGAGAATGGAGGATGAAACCCAAAAGGAGCTGGAAGCAGTAAGAATGTTTTTTTTAAGGTTGATGTGTTTGCGTGCTATCTACCTCTAGATTTAGCTGTTTGGGAACTGACACAAGTTACGCTGTGTCCATCCCTGTATGTGTGTTTGGGCAATTGCTGATGAACGTTACGGCCCCTTTAGTGATTCTCTTGTGCAGACCCATGCACGTCAAGCTTTCTGCATACTGTGTTGTGTCAAGCTGGAAGAGGCTGTAAGGTAAATGTTGCTCATGTCACTAAACCCAGAATGTCTGCCCTGACCACCTCTTTATTTGTGGTACCATACCCATTGCACAAAGTCCCATCCAGGGCCTTTCTACCACTTGGCAGTTAGAATTCAGAGCTGTCATCTTGCTTTTCCATCATGTGTCTTGCTGTGTTTCATTTCTAATCGTCATTAGATCTGATTTACTTTTTCTCTTCAAACATGGCTTCAAGCAAGCTTGTGTGTGTCACATGGCAGCTGTTCCAGTCATCCTGATTAGCACACCAAAACAGAGAATTTTACGTGCAAAAAGGAAGTCAGTAAAATTAACAGACTTGAGATAGTGTCAATTTTCATGCTTTAGTGGCTCTGAGGGTCAAATACATATAGCCTGATCTGATTTTGGACTGATGTCTAGAAGGAAGCTCATCCATAGGGCACTTTTCTCCATTCTTTCCTTCCAGAGGCAGAGGCACATTACTGGGCTAGGCAGGAAGCCTTCTGTAGTGTCTTTCCAGAGCATGACCTTTGGCATGGACCTTTCTCATTTTAAATCCTGCTGTTTTTTTAAGTTCTTTGTAGTCATTGGATTTGCAGTTCTATTTCCTTCCCATTTTGCAAATTGCTTTGTGCCCCATACACATTCAGCTTGTCACTTGCCTTCCACTGCCTTCGTTCTTTCAAGACACAATGTGTCTTCAGCTATAATTTGTTTTTTTTGCATGGTTTAACTCATTTCAGCTGCCAGGCATCTTTGAACAGGTTGCCTGGTGCTTTAGACCTACTGTTGACAGTAGTTCTGAAGTGCATTTTGTGGTTTTTGCCTAGCACATATTTTCCTTTAGTACGTAGTAGGGTTTGTCTGCTTTGGCAGTTCCCAGAATATGCTTTGGGAAAGGATGACGTACACTCACTCTTACAAACACTGTGCTCTCTCATTGGCATTTGGATATTTTTGATTATGGCAGGTGTTCTCTCAAATCACATGGATTTCTTCTTTAATTATACTTTATGACAGAACCTATTCCTAGAGCCACCTATTGCTAGGCATCTGTGAAGGAGAAAGAGTAATCACTTTCCCCTCTATAAATGAGTTCAGTCAGAAGGGTTCTCTTTTGCACACCCATAGTTCTTTATTTGGCATGAAATGGACTGCATCCAATTTCTCTGAGAAAGGATAGTGGCAGTGTGGGGAGCACATACAAGGTATGTATTGGAGAGACTAAGCAACACTTCACACATCCATGTGCATGAGAAAATTTCCCTTTTGTGTCTCTGTGGACTGTGGATGTTTGTCTTCTTGTAGAGAAAGTTCTGTTTCACATTTCTCACTGGTAAGTAACTTTTACATACTTTTTGCAAAGTATTTGCTGATTTTCTGTTCTTACATTAAGCAAAACCCCATGTTTCTCGCTGTAAAATTTATCCTTGTTCTTAATTATCAGACGTATTTGTTTGCTATTTTCTTGTTTTGCAAAGCAATGCAAATAGTTTATTTCAACTAGCTTGTTGTGTTAAGACGTTAGCATCAAGAACTTAAGTGTATTGTTGAAAAAGTCAGTTTTTCACAAGAGAAATGTATTGATTAGTTACACTAACACAGATTTTCTATGTGTATTGTGAAATGTGAGAGGAGTGGGGACCTACTGTTAAAATATTTTGTTTTTTCTCAGCTCTTACAATACGGGTATTTACAAACACCTATGAATGTTGCAATTTCAAGGGGTTTATGGTGAAGCGCATTACTGGAGAATAACCTAAAGACAAAAATGTCACTACCAAATAAAATACGAATGTTAATTTTATCCCAAATAATTTGGTTTTGTTTCATAGTCAACTACTTCATCCACTGTGCTAAACAGTAACTTCCATTAAAACCCAAGTATACCACAAAATATTTATTTTCTGGCCAGGATCTCTGGGAAGTGAGTGCTCAGGTGCATGATAAGGTGCTTAGTATGACAAGAATGTCTTCATGCTTCCATCCCTGCAGAGTGGTAGTCGGCTTTTTTGACAGTGTTGTACTATGCAGTTCTGTGATGCTTAAAACCAAACAACTGCAGAAATCAAGCCTAATAATATTAGCAGCATTACATCTTCCTACATACATTGCTTTCTGTTGCTGTTCCTTCTCTCATTAACATCCTTTCTTCTTTCTGGTTTGAACTAATCTTTGTCTTTGGATTCTGTGCATATTTCGGTTCTTTCGTTGGTCTTGTTCTTCATCTTAAGTCGATTTTATAGTCAGGATCTCTGCTTTTGTTACTCACTGAATCCTCATCAGCACTATTCCAGAGTTTCTCTATCCCAGCCCATCCTTTTCTCACTGTTTTTCTTTGTCTGTCACTTAGCGGTTTATGTGTCTGACTCCCAGAGATGAGGAGCACCTGTGCTCCATTAAATACACATCAGCTAATCAGTGAATAGTAGAAAAGCACCTGACCCTGCCACAGCACTGTGCCCGACCTACCTCATGTCCTTGTGAGGGTAGAAATGCCACTTGGGGTATTTTGAGCAGTGTGGCTCCAGGCTGAAGCATCATTTACAGCTGCTCTACAGTTCCCAGGCTTCCTCACCAAAAAGAAATACTGTATACCCTGTCTCCAAAAAAACCTCAGCTATAGCTGAGTCTGGCCCTGGCCCTGGCCAGGGAAAAGCAGTCCTGGTCATCTAGATTGTTACTTCTCTCTTACTAACCAACAGCGTGCTAGGTTCTTTATGTGGTAGCTCACAGTTTTATTTTACGTTTAGATGCGTAAGAAGGGTTCCGTTCGAGGCACTTTGGCTGCTGACGTCTAGAGGAGTTCTCTGTAGGTTCTGAGGCAAATCAAGCTGTGTAAGTCAACTGCTGGATGGAAAGGGAGAAAAGTGTTGAATGTTCTGATGGATGGGAATTGCTGACAGAAACCGTCTAAATGGACATATACCCAGATGACACCTCGGGGCCTTACCTCCTTCGTGTTCGATAACCTTGTGGTGATCAACAGTTGGAGGTGACCCTTGGTGTCCAGGGTACGTGAGGGACCTGCTCCACAGACGGGCACTCAACAGGCTGGGCCGGAGCTCGGTCCGGTGCCAGGATGCCTGAGGCGTTGGACACGTAGCCTGGTTCTTCGTGCTTATCTAGTACAGAAACCCAAAGGGTGTGACCTGTTGTCATCACTGAGCTCTGAGGCCTGCAAGTAGTGTTTTGGGCGCAAATCAGAGAAGTCGGTGAACATCGTTTTGCTACGCACCCAGTAGCAAAGTGATACATGGACTCAGTCCACATAATTTAGGGAAACTGTGGACGGTCATCTTCAAAGCTTCAGTTCTTGAAATCCGGTTCCAGACCGGTATTTCTAAATACTAAATTGTGCTGAAACTGTTACTGTGGGAAACAGGTTGTCCAAGAGTTGCAGGCTTTTGGGTATTTGTGTCCAGTGCGTGAACGCTGGCGCTGCCCGCTGTGGCTGTGTTCACAGCGCAGCGGGATCCCCAGCCAGAGCAGTTCCACTGTCCTGCTGATGAGCGTCGGGCTCCTCAGGCTGGACCCGCTGTCCACAGTGAGGACAGCGCCCAAATTAAGATTCCCTAACAAGTCTTGCATTGCTTTGGTAGGATTTGCTCAGTCCTGGCGATGTTTTGAGTGCCCTGCCCTATTTTTCTTGGAGATTAATAAAACTGCCTTTTTGGAACTTGCTGTTTGAGGAAACTGTTAATGTTTAATTGTGTATTTTCTTTCTCCACAGTTACGTAATCAAGGCCAAGTCAGAGGAACAAGTGCTGCCAATGATGAATGATGATGGATTTAACCGTCACATGCAGTGTTGATATACAAATGTGTGTGTGGATGCATGATTATTTGTATATAATTATATATACGCACATGCATACTGAAGAGGGTTGTTACAGTGTCTCCAGGGTACTATACCTGTCCTCAGCAAAGATTCAAAGGAAACTGCTTTCATTATGTATACCTGAAGCAAATAAAAATCAACTGAGTAGTGTCATTTAAAGGATGAATTAACTGCAGAATTATGCTAACTGGTATGTTTCATGAATGTCAATACTGGACCAATTTATTCCCTCCTTGTTTTTTTCCTGTCTTGAGTCACTCTGCTATAACTTGCCCCATATCTCATTGTAAAGAAACAGATTCAAATAAGTTAATTTCAGTTTTGTGTTTTCCCTATGTGATTATTTTTGGAATAGGAACAATGAATGTATTTATAGCTATTTATTTCTGGATTGTCATTATCCTATAGTCAAATCAGAAAAAAATTTCTATTAGTGGAAATTGGAGGACTTTTACTGTTGAATAAGTTTAACCCAAACTTTACCCATTCACTGATTTAAAAGAAAAAAAAAAAAATCATGTTTTATTGGACTTTTGTACATTGAAATGCTAATGGTTTTTCTTCATTAAAATTGGCAAGATTAAGGAAAAATGGCTTGTGATTTATAAAATAATTGCAACTTGAAATTTTCCAGAAGCTGGCTTTATAGACAAAGATACTGGCAATACTTGTAGAATACTTCAAGTATTTCTTAGGCCGTGCAGTGGAAGTGAAGGGGGCCGATAGCCCTTCCCTAACGTGATACTTCCTGTTAATGAAGTGGCTGTTTTCCAGAGTTTCACTTTGGAAGCTATGCAGATGGTCTTGATTTCACACACATTACGCAATGGAATATAATTGTGATTTTAGCTCTTTTCATGTTGAAAATACACTTTAAAAAGAGATGTATACTTTCAGATATGATGAAAGTTTAAATTGTAGCATCTGACGTATTTCTCTGATATTTGTTAGGAGTAGACACGTAAAAGAAAAAATGGTGTAATAAAGACCTGTAGATAACTCTCGGATAGGGAAAATGTCTTCAGCATTTTTTAAAAAAATATTCAGAACATATCATAGATATATATTATCAAAATGCTTGCTAGATTGGAAACAAATTATTTTAAAAACACTAGTTAGATAAAGTTCTACTGATGCCTGGTTTCCTCTCAGAAGCCTCGGTGGGGCAAGCCTTGCTTAAGCTTCCATCTTTATAATCTCGTGTACACCCAAGTATTTTGGAATCATTCTGGACCTGTTTTGCTTACAAAAGGAGTGATCTGATTTCCATTACGGGCACTGACAGAATTTTCCTGAACTTCCAGGGTGGGCCAGGTCTGCCGTGGGACGGGCCCTGCCGGTGCGTGCGGCCGCCAGCCTGAGGCCCTTTGTCCCTCTCCTGTGTAACTGCACCCTCCTACCCTCTGTGCTGCAAAGTCTTATTTTATTTTATTCCCTTTCTGGATTAGCAGTTGAATGGTTGTTTGTCCTCTACCATCGGGAGGTTGGTTTTGTAAATATGCGTAGAGACATGCACACACACACATGCATATGATTTTAAAAGTGTTTGCAGCCAGGAGGGCTGCTGCACACCCGGGAACCCAAGGGCTCAGTTCTCTCTTCAGTGCTGGAATACAAGTCCCACTGTCATTAATGTGAGTCATAACACAAACTGAGGGAAAGGGACCCTACAGCTTTCATGTTTTTGGACTAGTTGTGAAAATTTGAGAGAATCTTGTAGTGAATGTAAAATGTTTAGTTTACTTTGGCAGTCTCTGGTGTGACCTACAGTAAAACAGTCAATGAAATTTAATTAAATAAATTTGGTCATAAAATGTTCTGTCTCTTGTCTTAGGTATTGGTATTTGCAGTTTGTTCATGAGATGACTTAGTTTTCCTGAGCTGTACGAGGAGGTTGGAAGTCTTCTCGGGCTGCGCTCCGGTGGTGGTGAGCTCCAACCTCTGTGTGCGTGTCAGCAGTGATCGGGGGGGGGAGGAAGGGCCTTGTCTGGATTTCGGTTTGGTTCAGGATTCCAAGCTGAGCAATGCCTACTTAGCTGGGACCTTGCCACCCTTTAGAGCAGGGAGATGTTTTCCTTTGGTTGTGTACCCTAATGCGCCGGGCGTGCGGGGCCCTGGGCCTGCAGTGGCTCTGCTGGGTGGCTCCCCGTGTTCCAGCCGGTGCCATTCCGCGCCCGGCTGTGCCGCGGGACGGGGTCTGGAAGTCGCCGTATTGCCAAAAGCGTTGCCCTTCAGGCTGGAGCACGGTGGACAGCTCTTGCAGAGCACCCCAGGAAGCGGCGTGGAAATTTGCAGGTCTCGTGGCAAGGATGCGTGAGAAACCTTTTAAACTGGGGTAGACCACGTGAATATGGAATATGTATGTAAGGGGTGTGGGGGAGCAGCTGGGCAATTACAGGCCTGTTCAGTCTGGTGTCGGGGATACGCAAAGCTCCAGAACAGACTTCTGGAGGGATAACTAGAGGTGGAGTGAGTAACGTAAAATGAAGAGGCAGCTGCAGGCAGGTTGTGCTGTGGATGGCTGGGGGGTGCCAGAGCACGTGGGGTGGTCCTCGGAAGGAGAGCGAGCTGCGTCCAGCCGGAGAGGTGGAGCCGGTCAGGGCAGCAGAGCGGAGGGAGGCTGGTGGGGGTGCCCGGGGTGCCGGGGTGCGGGCCAGGGCGGCGGCGGCTCGGGCCGAGCAGGGACCGCGGAGCAGTTGGTGTCTCTGCCTTTCCCCGGCTGCGGCGCTGGCCCCTCGAGGAGGAGCAGGGGCTCACTAGCCCTGATAATAACCGCTGCCCCCCAGGATGAGAAACCTAGAAATGGACCGTGGGCTGCCGAGCTGCTGACTGCTGGATTTCAGAAAACGTGGCGGGGGAGTGTTAAGTTTTTTAAGTTAGATAGCATGAGGTCCTCTTGCTCCCCAGCCAGGCCCCAGTAGGAGCTGCAGAGTGGAACAAGAAGAGATTTTTGTGCTCGGTACGTACTAGATAAAAGCCTCTTGGTGCGCTGTTGGAAGCTGGGTCTGGCCTCCACAGCCTGGCTTCAGCTTTCTTATAATGGAGCATCCCAGTAATGACTTTCAAGTATTTAAAAATAACCTAACTGCTGGAGTGAGGAAGAAGTGATCAGAATTGTGGCAGGAAAGATACTCTGTTCATTAAGATAACTGACAAATTGCAGAAAGGCTTAAGAGTAATGGTTGCTTATTGCAAAGCATCTTTTGCAGTTTTTACGATAGTGTTACTTTCCCACTCGGATCCCAGTTTTCAGTATTTCCTGAGAAAAGCTTGAGTTCACTTGGCTTCTGCACCGCTGCTTGGAATTGTCTGCCACAAGGCTTTACTCCTGTGGTTTTTTCCCCTCTTCCCAGCACGTGTCACGCCTAAGCTGCTGCTGAGGAGGTGTCTGGCACAGGGCTCGCTGCCTGTCCCTGCGGACCGGGTACGCCCGGGCTTTGCCCCCGCAGCCCGGTGGGGGACGGACAGTGCACGTGTCTTCAGGGGTGCTGGAAGTGATCCCCAGCGATGCTGAGGCACAGCATTTCTCTGCAGCAGCGGGCGTGAGGGGTAGAGGATCTGGCCCTGAGGCTGGCTCCGGGGGGGGAGCAGCAGCGGCCGCAAGAAAAGAGATTAGATTGACTAGTTGTTGTTCTGCTTTCAGCAGCGAGCGGCAGCAGGAAGGACGCTTATTTTACCTGAACAGAAGTCAAAGGGCTGCATATCAAACGGGAAGGAAGATGCACGCGCCTCCATCCCCGCTCTGGTGTTGGAAACCCGCAGCCGGCACCAGCAGGAGCTCCTCAAGGGCGGCACCGAGGCAGGAGAGGGCAAGCAAAGACCCCTCGGTCTGGGTAATTCTCAGCTGCTGCTCGGCATCTGGGGAGCAAGACCTTGCAAAAAGGGGTGTGTTGGTGCCCGTCTCGGCAGCACGGGGGGCAGGACCTTGCAAAAAGGGGTGTTGGTGCCCATCTCGGTGTCCAGGGAGCAGGACCTTGCAAAAAGGGGTGTTGGTGCCCATCTCGGCGGCGTGGGGGGCAGGAGCGGGGCAGCCCCGCTCTTGGAGAGCAGGTTTAGCACCCAGCCCCAGCCTGGCCTTGGCTTGGTGACACCCCGACTGCTGCCTTCAGGCCGCCTTGTTTTGGGGCAGATGTGTGGGGATGGGCATGGTTGTTCCCAGGGGGTTTTCCTCTTGGTGAAAGGCTCAGAGCAAGGAAATGCCTCTTCCTCTGGCTGTTTCTGAATATATAATACAAAGCCTGGCACACAATATAAACTGAGCAGTGCCGATCTGATCTGTATTTGACTCCACGTGCCATCCTTGTAGGGTAAGTGGGAAGAGTTTCCCACAAGCGTGTTTTCAGGCTGGTCTCTGGACCAGTGCTGCTGTGTGGAATTAGTTCTCCAAGGGGCTGTTCGGCGCGGCTGAGCCCTTGTAGCTGTGTTCACTGCCCTTCTGTGTGGGCACGGCTTTGACTCTCTGTGGGCAGGTTTCTGCCTGCCAGGGTTGTGTAATCGCCTGCTATAAATTGAAACTTGTATGGCTCCTTTTGGTAAATGCAAAATTGAATTCTGTTTTTTTACTACACAGCTTGTTTAGCTTCCAGATGGCAAACCAACATGAAGTAATGGAAGTGCAACATAGTTTTGTTATAATGGATATGTAAACGTGATATTTATTCACTGCAATAGACTGCTGTGAACCATATTCCGGCAGTAACCTTTTAAATCCATCACTTGGCTGCACATAAGTGTGGTCTAAAAGGGACTTGTTTTTTCTGGAAGATTTTTTTAATAATTGAAAAGAAAGGGGAATGTTTTCTGTCTTTTGCCTTAATGTGTGGACTGGGAAATGTCAGAGAAAAATCTGCTGAGGTTTGTGTTTAGGGATTTTGGGTGTGTTGGGTTTTTCCACCCTAACTCCTTCCTAAGTGCTCTCGGAGCAGTCTGAAAATGTCTCTGATAAGACAACTTCCACCGCTGGCAGGGGCGAACACGGTCAGGTCCTCAGCCATTCCCACCGTTCTGGGATTCCTGACTCCAGCATCATCCATTTCGCCACATCCATCACTGCCAAATCTGCGTTTCTAGGGGTGAGCACCCAGGCGTAAAGAGTAGTTGTTCTTCCTCTTCACTCTGGGGAGCAACTCTCCCACCATTTCTGTGAATAAATGAGGCCAGCTTCGCTTTTGTACGACGGTGCCGAGGGCACTGGGGTGAGCTTCCTGCAGGACTGAGTCTGCTCTCTGTGAAGACTGGTGGGACTTAGTGCCAGGTTACATGGGAGCTGTGTCATTTCTCCCCATTTTTAGCTGCTTTTTTTTTTTTAAAAAAAAAAAAAAAAAAAAAGGCAGAAAGGCAGGTGATACCCTTGTTCTCGTTGACAGCTGCTGTGTCTCCTGCAGTGAAATGAGGTGACACCATCTCTTCCTTTGGCCACTGCAGTTATTCGGCAGGGTCCAAGGTCAGGCACAGTTTGCACAGGGGGAACCACTGGCATCCAGCTCTCGTGCAGTTGGTAATAGATGCTTCTGGTCCGATGCTGATGCTTCATGTCTGCAATAACTACTAAAGCAACTGCAAAGCAGGAGAACTGAGTTAATGTTCTCATCAAATTCTTAATCAAAGTGAACACTGAGCCCCTCTGAACGTTACTTCAGTGGGGCCAGTCCTCAGTGTAAACAAGGGCTTTGGCAGAAAAGGCTGACATTATTTTGAACGTGCCCTTGCAAAACTGCTAGCTACATGCTGCCTTTGCTTACGGCTCTGGGCCTTGACCCTGACCTGGCACTGCAGTGAAAAACAGACATGGGAGGGACAGGGATGCGGGTGCGAAACACCAAGCTGACAAATTCTGAGCAAGAAAGCAAGCCCCCAGCATTTAATTAAACTTCAGGAGAAAACAGCTCCAAATGAGCTTCTGCCTTCTGGCTGCGGGTGCCCGGGAGCCAGACCTGGCTGCCCCTTCCCCGTGTCCCCACCTTCTGCACCCGAAGTCCATCAGCGCGCTGGCACGTCGTGCAGCCCTGCTTGCTCCTGGCCCTCGCAGGGTCCGACTGCGCCGGGCAGTTTAACCCGCGGTCACAGGCCAACGCAGACGTTTGAGCTGAGCTGCCTGTGTTTGCCTGAGGAATTGAGGGATGGCGCAGAAAACGTATTTTACACAGAGGAAATCGTGCCTGCCTGCTCACCCGCTCCGAAACTGCTGCTGGGGACCAGGCGAGAGCCGAGCCCCAGGCACCAGCACCAGGACTGGGGCCTTCGGGGCTGAACCCAGCCGGTGTATTTAAGCCATATGGGCACAGGGCTCAGTTTTTCCAGGGCAAAGGAGGTTTCTGCTGTTTCGGGGCTCCGGAGAGGAGCGGGGCTCTGAGCCCTCAGGAGGTGTGCCGGGAGCAGTGACAACTGCTGGGCTGGCGTCAGTGAGTCCCCCTTTAAAATGCATTTTATAAAGCTTTTTCCTGGGCACTGTGAACTTGTGCTTCAGAGGAAAATTTGGAGATTTGCTTGTATGAGGCAAGGCTCCTGGCTGGCCACCTCTGGAGGATGCAGCCCCCTGATTTTTGTTCTGATGTAGCAAAGCTCCTGAGAGCTAAGGGCAGGTATTGGAGCGCTTTTGTTTCTTCATCTGCTCACCTGTTTGTGTTAGAGGATCTTTTCTCAGTCACATGAACCAGCAACAGAGTCTTTGAGCAATTGCAAATGCTTCTAAAAGCTTCTAAAACTGTCGTTTAGCTTTGCATTAATTTTGGCTACCAGGAAAAAATAGAAACGTGCTAAAAGGATGAAATATAACTTAACAAAGGTGTCTATTTATAGCACGTCAACATGTTTT